GTGTTTATAAATGCATGTCAATTGGCGTGTGAGATGGGTTTGACTGAAGTAGTCTCGCTTAAAACGCTTCAACTTGTTTATTGAGGACAGGTTATTGCTGGCGTTCTCACCCCAACTCTCTGGGAATCCTGCTATTCAAACAACTCCTTTCCCCTTTCTTACACTTCTAATAGCTTTTCTCTGCCGCATTTCGCCTCTCCTGAAAATTGAGCGAGACACCTCTGCAAATAGGTGGCGCGAACTGTTGTTGTTGTCTCGTTTCGCTCTCAAAAAGCTGAATCTCTCATGTCTCCATTGTGCCAGATACAGGTGCCCCATTTGATCGAAACCTTGAGACGTCTTGCCGGTGGCGAGAATTCAGCATCAAAGAAGCAGACCGAGCTTTGGCGTCACATTCGAGCCCCTCAAGTAGCGAGAACGTGGGCCAAACCCAACAATGAGCTCTGCTGATAGCATCAGCGTTGGGTTTGAAAACGAGACAACAAACAGATAAACAGAGCATTGCGTAGGGTGAGATTAGGACTTAACGGACCTGATCCTACAGCGCTGGCGACTCAAACCGCTTGCGAGATGCATGCGCTCGTGACGCACTCGGGGAGGCTGAATGAAGTGACTCTACAAAAGCATTCGTTTTTGTGAGGAGAATAAAGAGGGGGGGGCGCCAGAACTGTGCTCTTGTTACAGAAGACGATGCCTCCCCCTGGGTTATGCCGCCGATCAATTCGACAACGCTTGCTGTGACTGGAGTGGTATAAAAAGAGGGCGTTATCTGGACCGTCACTCAAAATCGAGCGGTGGGGGATTTTAATGAGAAGCACCTGGCAGTCACACCACCAAGCGAGAGCCCATCTCGCACTTCCTTTTCAACCATTAAATCCAGCCGCTGTTTTACAGATTGCTTCTGTGCTCGGCTTCTCATGCGTCAGTCAAAGGTGCGGAAAAAAACAAAAAACAAAACCTTGAACGCAGCCACGTGAATTATTCATAGGTGTAATAAATTGGCCCAGCTGTAATCGTTTGTGAGACAATTTCTCTGTCAGAAAGCGAAGGCTGATAGCCTCTCTCTTGCATTCGGCTCGACGACCTTTTCCGTGTTCACGACCGTGCGTCAGACTGTCAGTCATTATTTCTGTTTCTTGGCCATTTACCCCGTGTGAAGAAGGATAGAGTGAGTAAAACCTGTCACGTTGTGAAGGGTCTTTGGATATTACAGAGGTAATTTCCTCTGTATGGAATCATTAGACGAAACAGGCGCCATATATCTGTTTGCTGTTATTTGTCATTCTCCGCGTAATAACGTAAAGCATAAAGGATACAGGGATGTGGGAAATGGAATGTGGCAGCAAACAGGCTGGGAAAATCATAAATGCATTACGAAACCCGATTTCTAAAGATTGCGGACTGACACAGTACCCTAGTCTGTAATCTACCTCATTAATTATCCGCATCTTCCCGAAAGAACATTGCGAAGTCGTGCCGATAAGGATGTAGGCATCCCAAAAGCTGCACCACACATCTTGCATTGAGCACAATGTGTAAGATAACGCCAAAACAGCGCTTTTATTCCAAGGCAAAAATTCATCAACATACATCGGAGAAGTAACTTCTATCTGTTGTTCTCTTTCCTCCTGTGCTCCTTTCGGGCTTATTTAGATAACAAGTATGCTCCCGCTGTGAGCCTCAATGGTTTTATCTTCATCCTGGGAGGAGCCTACGCCCGAGCCACCACTATCTACGACCCAGACAAGGGCAACATCAAAGCCGGCCCCAACATGAATCACTCCAGGCAGTTCTGCAGGTTGGTCTAATGAACAGTAGATTGTGCTACACGATGCAATAAACGATTACAAATGGTCTCTCTTGTTGTTCCTCCCCCAGCGCGGCGATCCTAGATGGCAAGATCTATGCAACGGGAGGGATCGTGAGCAGCGAGGGACCGGCACTGGGCAACATGGAGACCTTCGACCCTTGCACAAACACGTGGACACTGCTGCAGAATCTGCCGTGTCCGCTTTTCAGACACGGATGCGTGGTTATAAAGAAGTACATTCAGAGCGGCTGACGACGAGCTCGGCTCTGGACTTCTCTAATGTCACGAACTGGCCTAAACCACCCCATCGAGCTCCAACCAGCCAACCTGGGTGGAACGCGGTCGGACCGTCGCGGTCAAGATTTAGCAAGGGATCCGTAGCGTAACTCCCCCTCAGGTGTCGTGCCATTGGAACGGTATTCTAGGTCAGCCAAATGCTAAATTTTTTTTCCCCTTCCAGTGTTTGTTGTTCTTCTCCCACATCATGTTTCTTTAAGGTTTCGGTCAAACCTCGTTTTTCATCGGTAGTCATTTCATGAGATGATATGGGATTGTGTGTCATGTATAAAGATCAGTTGCATCACGAAGGGACTTCTGCAAGAAGCCAAAGGACGTCGATGCTAGTCATGTCGCCCTCCAGCGAGGGTCAGCACTGCAGAGAGCCGGGATTGAATGAAGGCCCTCTTGAACTCCAAAGCACAAAATACCAGAACCTGTGATGCCCAGAGGAGTTTCATTTCATTTTGTTCTGTGTAAATCATTCCACCTTTTCTTTGTGGATTTTATCCTTGAGTTTTATTCCAATCCACGAGCCTGCAGCCATGGCAGAATACGGATGGAGAAACTTTGTATTATAGGGCAGATATGTATATTTTAAAAACCAATGAAAATTGTGTATAAATGTTTTTAGAAAAAAATCAATGGATTGGACAATGTCTGTAAATCTGTACCCTACCGGAACAATTTACGTTATTAATGCTGAAATATACAGAATTCTAAAGAAACAAATTGACTGTTTATTTACATTTCAGTCATTTGTTCATTCATCAGTTGCCATTTTTGGCTAATTGGTAAGATTTTTTACTTTCTTATTGAGTGAATGCCTATTCATTACAGAAAGTTTTGAATTTTCCATAACATTTAAAAAACTTGTGCCATTCCATATCTTTAAAGCCTTAAAAAGTGCCTGATAAATGAAGCCATTAAAAAAAATTTAATATTTGGAGGAACATTAGAGGCAGAGCGCCAAAGCTGAATGCTTTTGTAAGTCAACAAATGCAAGTTATTTGTGATTGAAAATGGGCTGCTTTCTTGGTCAATCTTACACTCGTCCAGAACTGTTTGCTATATGCCATTTAAATGTTCCAATTTATGAACGCAGCACACTATCCAAAATGTGCCGAAACACTTATTACAAAACAAGGCAGGGCTCAGATTGAAATTGAAACACTAGAGCGACTTCAATTTGCACCTTTTATTCAAGTATATCACAGCAGTTTATTTCAGAAATTACAGTAAATATATCATTTCACAAAAGAAGGACTGCAGGAAAGGACAGAACAATGTGTGGTTTTGATTTGCTTCATAGTAGTAAAAAGGGATGCCATTTAAATGTTCCAATTTATGAACGCAGCACACTATCCAAAATGTGCCGTAACACTTATTACAAAACAAGGCAGGGCTCAGATTGAAATTGAAACACTAGAGCGACTTCAATTTGCACCTTTTATTCAAGTATATCACAGCAGGTTATTTCAGAAATTACAGTAAATATATCATTTCACAAAAGAAGGACTGCAGGAAAGGACAGAACAATGTGTGGTTTTTATTTGCTTCATAGTAGTAAAAAGGGACACAAATTCTGGTATTACTCAAAAATAAAATTGCCTCAACCTTGTTAATCATTAAGGGGTATACATCTACTGATTAAATAGGATTAACTAAACAAACCATTGGTTGCCAAAAAAAAAAACTATTTTTTTTTACATTTACACCAAAAATAACTGGAGTTTAGTGGGTTTTATTTACCTACCTAAAGCAAAATGCTATTGTTCTATGGACTTCCTACCGTCAGTCTGCTTTCTTGGTCAATCTTACACTCGTCCAGAACTGTTTGCTATATGCCATTTAAATGTTCCAATTTATGAACGCAGCACACTATCCAAAATGTGCCGTAACACTTATTACAAAACAAGGCAGGGCTCAGATTGAAATTGAAACACTAGAGCGACTTCAATTTGCACCTTTTATTCAAGTATATCACAGCAGTTTATTTCAGAAATTACAGTAAATATATCATTTCACAAAAGAAGGACTGCAGGAAAGGACAGAACAATGTGTGGTTTTTATTTGGATCTTAGTAGTAAAAAGGGACACAAATTCTGGTATTACTCAAAAATAAAATTGCCTCAACCTTGTTAATCATTAAGGGGTATACATCTACTGATTAAATAGGATTAACTAAACAAACCATTGGTTGCCAAAAAAAAACTATTTTTTTTACATTTACACCAAAAATAACTGGAGTTTAGTGGGTTTTATTTACCTACCTAAAGCAAAATGCTATTGTTCTATGGACTTCCTACCGTCAGTCAAATAATCTGAATTAGACTCTGGTCAACTAAAGGTTATGAACTTTAACTTGTAGTCAAAACACATAGAACTACATAAACTTTCATGCCCACATTGTAACATTTTTAATGCAGGATTTAAGAGTTCATTTTCTAAAAAATATATTAGTGGTGCTTCTAAATGTGAAATTTCATTTTACACATTACATACCGACCAAGGTTTGATTTTTCGATTCAGGGCCAATAACATTATGCTATGCAAAATAGGGTATGTCTTGCATGAATTGGCATCAACTAAAGATAAATTTGTGAGAAGCCCAAGTGGGTCAGCATTACAGTAGTTTCTTCAACGCTACACCAGTTAAGCATGTCGATGGTACTACAGGTGACGAAGAGGGACCCGAAAACGCACATTAGCCTCACGAACCTCCCCCTCATCCTCTACGCAAATTTTTAAAAATTAAAAAGAAGCATAACCACCATCATCTCCAACCTTATGGAATAAATATTAATGTAGCAGAGACCTGAGACCAGTAAACCCCGTTTCTGAACGTCGTGCAACACCTGCTACAAAAATGTGCTACATCGTGTCTCAGCACAAATTTCATGTAACAATTGGCAAACAGTTAACAACAACATACACCACATATTTTTATCGGTTTGTAGCCCTGTGGCTCGTCCATAAATATTGATAGTCAATATTCAGTTATGTTTTTAGCCTATTTCAAAGGTCAAGGCACATGCTAGGCAGTGCAATCTCCAGATATCTACTCGTAAATCCAGTTAAACCAGAAAAAAAGCACAAAAATTAAAGTAAAAAAAGCCCATGAACTATTCCAAGGGGGGAAATATGCGATGGGTCTAAAATAATACCATTCCTCTCCTAAAGTCTGTCTGTTTTTCGTTGGTTTTCTGCAAACATTATAGTCTAAATAAGGAGAACGCAGTCTCATTTGTCACAAGGAAAAGTTGGTTTACAACACAGAGGCCTTGCAAGTCTTACAATTAACACCAAGTAGAAAACAACTCTAGACGTCCCTACAAAAACGTGTTTTTTATTTTTCCAGCAAGAGTATCTCTATGTGGCTAAAAAGTGTTGATAATCCCAATGGTGACAAGGGGTGACATCAGGGTGGATGTAGAAAGAGGGCGATGTAGTTTATTTCCACAGTAAATGACCAGCTGACTCGCACTGTAGGGCATCACACCGTTTGCCACTGCTGGTGAGAATCTGTGTGTATGTGTGTGTGTTTGCTTCCAGTAGACGGAGGCTGAGGTTGCTTTGTGACATCACACAATCTTTTATTTTGTACTGTTTGTTTGGGTTTTGTTTGCTTATCTATGAGAACAAGGAGCAGCAGATGACAAAAAAAGAAAAAAACAATAGCACCCAATAGCACCAAGAACGATCGTCGGCAATTGGCAAGTATGTGAGTTTACAAAAACGAAACTAATAAAAAGGAAACCTCCAGGAGTTTTTGTGTTTGGTTCTGTAGACTGGTTCTGTTTCAGGTACCTGAGATGATAGCACCAAGGTCGCCTTTGTAAGCCTTTGTTTCTAATGTCTGCACCTTTTTTTTCCCCCCTTCCTGCTGTTATTTGAGACCGAGGCGTCCAGACCTGCTCCACATTAAGGACTTGGCTCAGAACGCCGGTCTCTCCCTCTTGTATCAAAAGAGTCGCCGATCAAGTTTCTCTCTGAAAGCCCTCTATTCATCACAGGAATGTTTCGAAATGTTCAACTTGCCTTTCCATCGCCTGCAAATCAAAAGACAGAAAGCAGCATTGTTAATTGCATATTTTGTTAAAGGTGGATGCAATCAAACGTTATCACATTGGTTATTTTATACATTTGTCTTAATATTCAATGGATATTTTTGAAGAACTTCAAACAAAGTTTTGAAGGTCATTATTTGGATTAGATTGGACTTTCATCTTAAATATTAAAAGAAATATATTTTCTATACACTACAGTTCAAAAGTTTGGGTCAATAAGATCTTGTGATCTTATGATCACCACGGCTGCATTTATTCAATCAAAAATAAAGTAAAAACAAGCAATTGTTTTCTATTTTAATAGGTTAAAAAGCTCGTCAGCCATTACTCCAGTTTTGAGTGTCACATGATCCTTCAGAAATCATTCAAATTTTCTTATCAATGTTGAAAACGTTATATTTTTGTGGAAACCCTGATAAAAAATTTTTATTGATTTTTTGATATAGAAAATTCAAAAGACAGAACTGTTTTGAAATAGAAATGTTTTATTACAAATGTTATATATATATTAGGGATGCACGATATTGGATTTTTGCCGATATCTGATATGCCGATATTATTCAACTTATTTTGGCCGATACCGATATATTTCCTTTTGCTTGGAAACAACACCAAGTCTCTCCTGTGCAGAAATTATAAGCAAAATATTTTTAATTTTGGTTAGTTTTTATCAAGAACTTATTTGTTAGAATTAAATAAACAATAATGAAGGTTTTTTGACAGTACATTGAAAGTTTGAAAATAACTATAAATAAACTATATATCAATCGCTGCATTTTTTCCCCCCCAGAAAGATGCAAGGTAAACCCTAACATTTTATTTTAAGATTTAACATTTGTAGATGGAAAGCAAAAGAGTTGTAAAAATTCTGAAAATCTTTTAGAGCTTATG